TGGTAGTTTGCCATTGCTTTCTGGACGGTTGGCTTCTGAATACCACCGTCGAAACCAACGCAAGACCTGCAGCTGGGATTGAACCCAGTACCCTAGCATTACAAAGCTCATTTGCAAATACTAAGCTACAGATGCCGACAGAGTACCCGCACATAACTCGTACCTCACATAACCACCAGGATCACGTCTGAATCATGATTTGTCTCAGCATCTCTGCAGAAGATAGATTTACCACTGCCCTTACTTGCCAGTAATCCTACTGGTCCGGCAACTAGTGACTGACCGACTAGTGTGATTTCCCAGCAAGTTACCACTAGCGGGATAATAAATGTTATCAGGTCTCCGGGTTCCCCACTTTCTGATGTAAGTATTCTTATTCTTCAAATGAGGTAACCAACCAAGCCAACAGAGTAATTCACAAGGGACATAACACATTTTAATCAGCCTCAGAATGAGATATGAACCTCAAACACCAGTGGAAGAATTGAATCACCGGTGTCTTCTCGCTCCAGGAGACATCATTAAACAAGTGAGTTGCATGTGTCCTTTACAGGGCACTGCAGAACCCACCCCAGCATATTTGTTTTTTTTAGCTGTTGTAGTTATTTAAGGCAAATTTTACATTTGGTAGTTTGCCGTTGCTTCCTAAACAGTTAGATCTTGGTACCACTGTCAAAACCAATGTAAGATAAACAATCCGCAGCTGGGATTGAACCCAACATTACGAATGTGCATTCACAATTTCTAAGCCACAGGTAACATCATTAAACAACCCGTATATTCACGAGTGGAAACTGCCTCATTGAAGACAGTAGTAGATACACTACGGTCTCTACAACAGCTTACATTAAGTTGGAATCAACAACAACATGATACATTCATTCTAGATCTTTTGTTGCTGTTTGTTACTAGAGTGATGTCCCTTTCTAGCTGAAATATTTGTACATCAGAGGATGTAACTGTTGACAGCTTCAAGTTTATATCGATGGTGTTAAGCTGAACACATCCGACTTCTTCAGGCTCGCTGCCTGCGTTAACCGTACCAATAATTAAAATCTATTCTAGCAGCTTTTTACAGACCCTAAACTTGTCTAGACTGACCCTCAAATCAATCTACAAAAGTAAACTCAACTGAACCAACATCTAGACCCTTACTGCACACAAACCTAAAACATGTGCACCTAAAAATCAGTACAAAACCCAATAGAACTGCCAGTGAGTCAAGTACACAACTCCCTTGAGAGACACTCATACAACTGCACAAGAACTGGGTCAGAAATTCCACTGAGCTGCAGAAGGAAGACCCAAAATCTTGAGCCACTGCACGAAAGAAGAAGATCACACCAGACTCCAGCCCTAACAACCAAGCAGCAATGACAACAGCAACCACACACGTTTCCTAGTATTTGCATATCCACTATATTAATGTACCGGTGCAGTCTTATGTCTCCATGTCCGAAATATCTTCCCAGTTATCCTAAAAAAGAAAAGAAAAAACATGCAATCACACAATTTAGAAATAATTGGGGGAGAGGGGAGAGAGAGAGAGGGGAGAGAGAGAGAGAGAGAGAGAGAGAGAGAAGATACAAATGAATGTATCCACGTTAACAGCTATAAACTGATAAAAATCTGTGGCAACCTTTCGCAAACATGAGCCTCTACTGCTTCAAGGAGAGACTCATCTTTTGTGCTCACACCTCAAAGCATGGTTATCCCGTTGTGTTGTGGTCTACAGACAGGCTGTGGTATCAGCACCTTTTCTCAGATTTATGCAAATCTTTAATTAGTTGCTATTAAATAAAGTTTCCTCCCTGTGTGGGTTCCGGGGCCCTATTATAGGGAAGACAAGAATAGACCCACCGCCTACCCAAAAGTATGTCGTAAGAGTCGACTAATTGGGGAGCTTCCCTCGAAGTCAAAGTGCATCTGCCTGAGAGGCATGGAACCAGCAGTCTGCATACAAATAAGTCAGATCTGTCAAACGGATGCACACGTGAAACTCAAGTTCTGGAACAGGATTGCAGTCCAAAACTGGATGAACAACCAGAACTTTCTGCCAGAGTTTACAACTGGTGAACGCAAAGAAGAAGATAAAGTTCCCAATTAGTCTACTACTAAGACATGCTTGCTGGTTAGGCAGTGAGCATAGTATATTTTTTGCCCCCCCCCCCCCCCCCCACAATGGGACCCGATGGAACCCACATCGGGGACTGCTTCCTAAACGACCGACTCTCGATACCTCGGCTGACATCAATGCAAAATCTGCTGCCAAATCACTGAGAGTTCTCACATTTTAACCTTCTGTATCTTTAAATTGTTGATTTCACGACTCCTGCCCTAGAGTGTCTCTGTCAAATCCCTGGTCTCATTTCGTTTAAGCCCAACTCCTTGGGATAGCAGGAGCCGCATCTACAACCTGGTACAGCAGGAATTAAAGTTAACTCCTTGGAACTAAAAGAGTTAACCATCACAAGCAACTAAAACCAGCTGATGCAAGGATAAAACTTTTTTTTTTCATTTACCCCCAAACAATACATTTTAACATCCTCTAATTCAGAGTGGCCTCCAACCTGGGGATTGATAAAGATTTGGAGGTCAAGCAATTTTGAAACTGAGTTCATTTGTACTTGTAATATTCCAGAGTTTCAGGGTTAACAGTCATGAAAATAAAACAGCACCGCTAGCTTAAGGTGTAGAGTGGTCTAGTCAAGCATTGCGGCCCAAATAGCAGAATGTCATAGGCAAGACAAAAACAGTGTCAGCTCTCACATTGATATTTGGACATTAAATTACCAGTTGTTGGTGACTGTTTCTTTTATTTAACACTGGTTTATGTGCATGTTTTTCTCCAAGTTCTTGTTAACAGCACTCGGGATGTTTGTTTCTGTTCTTGCCAAACCCCCAAGGGGGATGCCACCTGAAAAAGTACTGGAGGCCACTGCTCTAATTCAACTTTTATTAAAACCAAAGAACTGAGTCTGAAATAAAGACCAAACTACTCACATCTGACTCCAGGTCATTTCCGTCTATCACCAAACTGTCCGAGCCCTCTGAGTCAGACTCTGAAAGAAAAACAACACAGAATCAGTTCAGAGTCCGCAAAAAAGAGCAACACAGGCATTACATAATGATTAAGGGGCTTGGTGTAAATATAAGACAATCAAATAAAAAAAAAAAAAAACCAGCAAAAAAGCTCTACTTCAGTGTACCTACTGTTAGGGAACATAGAAGTAGAACAGGCAGGGAAAATGAGTAAAGTCTCAGTGAAACAATTACAGAGAGTTCTGTAATCTAACGAAGGCTGTAGGAGAAACCGGAGAACACAGAGTCAGAAAGTAAAATGTAGAAGAGTTCAAGCACTCTGCAGCAATTTAAAAATTTTTTTTATCAATAATTCCATCAATGAAATTGGAGGAAAAAAGCTTTTAGGAAGGTTCTGGAAACTACAGACAAATGCAAAATAAAAATGATTGGCCTACCACAACAGGCACACAATACAAGAAGAGTTAACAGCAATGTCTGACAAGCTAGATTGACCAAGACACTGTGGAAGCCTGAACAGACCACTATGGTCTGGACAGAATGGTGCAGATGACCTGACTGACACTCAACAAAAAGGAAAGATGGACATTACAGAGACACCACTACATCTATCATGGAGTATCACACACACAAACATCTATCACATAACATCCAACATTCACATGGGCAACAACACACTACATTCACATGAGACCAGAGAAACAATAAACATCTACAGAAACAAAGCAAGCTCACCATCTTGGTATGTTAACAAAGGCTCAGTGTTCTCTTCATCAGCATCAGATGACTTGCCCTGAAATGAAGAGAGTCAATCAATGTTAAAACGGACAAACAACGGATTTTATCTACAGCTTGAAATGATTATGAAGGGTGTCACTGATGTAACTCACAAACAATGGATTTCATTTACAGCTTGAAATGATTATGAAGGGTGTCACTGATGTAACTCACAAACAATGGATTTCATTTACAGCTTGAAATGATTATGAAGGGTGTCACTGATGTAACTCACAAACAACGGATTTCATTTACAGCTTGAAATGATTATGAAGAGTGTCACTGATGTAACTCACAAACAATGGATTTCATCTACAGCTTGAAATGATTATGAAGGGTGTCACTGATGTAACTCACAAACAACAGATTTTATCTTCTTCTTATTCACTTCCTCTTTTACCGCTGTGGGCGTCGAGGGAGATATAAGGTCCTGTTTCTAGCTCTTCTGGCCGCATCGACCATAGGCACATCGTGCTGTTGTAGAGTTTCTCTGATGTTATCCTTCCATCTTGTTCTTGGTCTACCTCGTACTCCACATTCTTCTCTTTCCAAGTATGCTTTGTATGGTATGGTGTCACAAGGCATTCTCTCTAAGTGGGCAAACCATTTCACTTGCTGTCTTCGTATGTAATTTAGAATTGGTTCTGTGCCGACTTTTTCTCTTATGATCTCATTCCTGATGTTATCTCTTATGGTCACTCCTACAGCCCTTCTCAGACATCTCATTTCCATGGTTACTAATTTTCTTTTATGGTTTGTTGTGAGTGACCATGTCTGGCACTGGTAGCACAGAGTTGGAATAAATATGCTTTGAATAATATGTCTCTTTGTGCTGATAGGGATTGTCTTTTGCAGTAAGAGCTAGCTGTCCCAATACTTGGTTTGCTTTACTGCATCTAATGTTAATTTCTTTATCCAATTTCCCATCTTCGGTAAATGTAGTTCCCAGATATTTAAACTCACATGCCTGTTTAATGTCTTTGTATTCTATTGTTATGTTTAGATCTGTCTTCTTTTCTCTTATTGACATTACTTCTGTCTTTTCAGTGTTGATTCTCATATTTTTGTTTTACATTCTTCATTCATGCATGTTAGATTTCATCTACAGCTTGAAATGATTGTAAAAGGTGTCATTGATGTAACATATTCAACAGATTTTATCTACACACACAGAAACTTACCCTCTGCTTGACCAGCTCCAAGCGTCCCTTGAGCTGAAGCATTTTTGGGTAGAACTTTTGCCTGGATACCAGAGTCTGGAACAACCGGTTCATTGTGTTCATCACCTCAGGAACCTGTTCCAGATCAGATTACAGCATGTTAGGTGGAAGTGCACACAATATAAAAACATCCTGAGATATGTATGTTATCCTGAATACGGTATACAAACATGCTGAGATGTCAGTTGGCATAACATACGGTATACAAACATGCTGAGATGTCAGGTGGCATAGCATACGGTATACAAACATGCTGAGATGTCAGGTGGCATAGCATACGGTATACAAACATGCTGAGATGTCAGATGACATAGCATACGGTATACAAACATGCTGAGATGTCAGATGACATAGCATACGGTATACAAACATGCTGAGATGTCAGGTGGCATAGCATACGGTGTACAAACATGCTGAGATGGCATTGTAAAAACACTTGAGATATCTGACACTGTCCATGGTAAAAATAAAAAAAAAAATTAAAAAAAAAGATGTAGGGTCGCACTGGCCATGAAATTAAAACAAGAGATGCACCTCCTTCACAAAATAATTACGCTTTTGTGGCAGAACAGGGCACGACAAACAATTTACAAACTCACGCAGTTTACAGTGTTGGAATACAGCTCAGCGTTTTCAGGTGCCAAGCCACAAGGATACATTGTTTCATCCATGCAAAAACATGAACATATGTTGACAAACATCTTCAGGGACACAATTCCGGTGTTTCCTAAATGCTAAAACCTAAACGTATGCTGGCGAGCATTGTCAGGGATACATATTTGTGTTTCCGACATCGCAAAACCTGAACATACGTTGATAAAGTCTGTTGTGATTACATAAGTTGGCAGCAAGCACTAAAATTGAAGTCAAAATAAAAAGTAATCGAAAAAAGTCACAATAAAGAAAGCATAACTTACCGATAAAATGTACGAAGTATGACAAGACACAAGTGCTGATATCCACCGGCTTAAAGTGCAAGCACTGAAACAAACCACCAAAGATTGAGTCTTAGATAAATGTTGGTTGCACAAGCTATAACTTAATGAAAGTTCATATCAGATTTGTATAAAAAAGCCTACCTCACTGGTCAACAACATAAAACAACTAAATGGTTCCATTCTGGTCCAACAAAAGTCTTGTGTTCAAATCCATATGGTGGCAAGGGTTTTTCGATTGTTTGTTCCAGTGGATTCCATCCTCTTCTTGCATTCACCGCCTGTAAACTCCAACAGAAGGCTCTGGTTGCTCCTAAAATTCTAGTGCTGCGTGCACATCCATTGACAGATCTGACTCATTTGAATGCAGGCGGCTGGTTCCTTGCCTATCAGGCAGATTTACTCTGACTTCAAAGGAAGCTCCCAATTAGTCGACTCTTACGACATGCTTCTGGGTAGGCATTGGGTCTATTTTTTGTTTCTTCCAAAAGTGGCCTGGAATCCACATGTGGTTTAGATTTCCTGTTTACCCAACCTAAAATGGGTATAAGGAAATACTCTGGAAAGTAAAGGGTAGTGTTTTGATGATCACATCAGTTATTGAAGGCTGATTGGTCCATATAATTAGATATCTAACATTACATGGCTAATGGTAGAATAACAGTCTTTTCCTGAAAGATAGTTGATCCAAGAACCAACATAACAGCACTCGGGGCATTCCCATAAGTGCTTTGCCCCCATCTTCAGCAGCCAGTAGCATTCTGATTAAACATCTGTCTTGACTTTCCTCTGAGCCTCAAGCATCAATCTCATCGCGATCCATCTGCTCCTCCAAACTGTACACGCTCTGCCACAAGGCACTAACCATGTCTGCCTTATCATGCATCAGTATTCCACCAAGTTGTGCAGAGCCAGCCAGTCTGTCCGCCTATTCATAAACCAACACACCGTTGTACCCCAGTGAAAAAAGTCCAGACAATACTCCTCACCCAAGATATAAAGCGAAGAACAAAACAATAAATCACAAGGTGTGGTACTTACTGCTGAGCATGTCCAGTCATTCCTTTGTCGATCTCCTTCACCAGGGGAACAATGAAAGACACAGGAAGCCTCTTCAGGGTGTTTTTAACAACTGTCTCGTTAGTCTCTTGGAAGACCCCCTGTGTAAACCAACATGACTACTTTAGTTACAACAGCCACACTGGTTTATCAACAAATTAACACACACACACACAAAATTGGGAAAAGTCAACTCACAACAAAATCTTAACTGGGAGAATTGTGATATGGATAGAAAGACTCCATCAGAAAATTCTTCTTCTTCTTTAGCATTCCTTAGCCATTCAGGTTCATTGCTGGTGTATCTCTGTGTCTGGCCTTCTCTTTCCAGTTGGTGGGTTCAAGTGTTTGCAGGTCTGCCTGAAGATCCACAATGTCATCCAGGCCTGCCTCGTGGCCAACCCACCATACTTTGACATGGTGAAAAAACCTCTGGAGAAGCATCAGCAAATAAGAAAACAAAAGGACACCTATGAATTTGCATTTCAAATGCTATCCCCAAAAATGGTACTTACATTTTCGTCTGAAGGACACACATTTTCAGATTTGTGTAGTTTTGTAGGCTGATGAAGATTTCCTAGCAACATCTAATCTGACACTTGTGACTGTGTTCCTGTAAAGCTGACCCTATCCATTTTTATTGATTTATTCATATTACTGTTACAGATTTTCTGCAGCTTACCCCTCATTTCCTTCTTTGTCAATTTATGCAACATTAATTTCAAATACTAAAATCTGTTGCCAGTGCGTTATTTCAATAGAAACTGTGAATACCAGGTTATTAACAAATCTGTCATCAAAATGAACCAAAAAATGGCAGTGACAGAGTAGAGAAATCTGGCCAACACTCAAAGGAAAGGCAAGACTAGAATCAGACTGCTACTGTACTATTGGGCTGGCATTATCTGATAGCTGCTAAAAAGTGGGACAGAGCGTACATGGGAATGTCTCAGGTGTTAGGTCTCAACACAAGAGAGAGCGAGAGAGAGAGAAGTAGACAGAAGTAACAGATACAATTATAGATAGAAAGATATGGGTAGGTGAAAAAGACACTGATTACAGAAAAGAAGACAGGTGTAGAGAGTGTAGACAAACAACCATTGATTACATGGACAGTAGGAGAAATATATACTTACAGAGAGGAAGATTTAGGTGTAGAGAGTACGAGGAACACACACTTCTTACAGGGAGAGGGAGACAGGGGTAGAGAGGCTACTAGGAATAAACACTGCTCACCGTCAGGATTTTGGCATCTCCACTCAACAATCCTTGCTGGAGTAACCGACTGAGTGTGTTGGCCACAGGTGGTTGTCTCACATGACCATCGCTGGGGACATCAGAGCTCATGGCATTCAGCCGCTCCTCCACGGTCAACTGTTTCGCCAAAGAAACAAAAATTTAGTGTTGAAATTCAGTCACCATGTAGTCTTGGTTTCATTGTTACAACCAATCAAGTTCATAAAAACTCACTGCTTCAAAAAATCTTACAGCAGCATGCTCATTTTTAAACAGAAAATCTTTATCTGCTATTGTCCTTAAAAAAAGGCAGATGGCATGTTGTGTTTTGCCAGCTAGGCTGCAAATTCTGCATCTTTCAGCCCAACATATGCCTCACAGAGGAAAGTGGCTTCATTCTTTTCCTTCCGCAACAATGGGACTGTATAAGCTCATACAGATGTTAATGATTTAATCAATGAACAAAAGGCAAAAAGTGCTTCAAAAGATCTAGGAAATCTGTGGAAATGGAACCCCATATCAAACTTAAAATACATAAGCCTAATATTAAACCTGCACTGTCATTTAAGTAGAAACATGGAGAATATATATTTTTAAAAAAAAAGCAGAGTTACAAACTACAAACATAAATTGTAATTCTTTTAAGCATTCACCGGCAGTAAACTCCAACAGAAAGTTCTAGTTGTTTGTCCACTTCTTGACTTTTTCAGTCATTTTACAGTTCAGAATTTGAGCTTTGCACATGTACCTCCATTTTACAGAGAAGCACAACTAAAAGAGATGAAGCCTTATTTCAAATGTTTGAATACAAAGACTGACGAATCTTCAGACCTGTCAAAGATTCAAACAACAGGGAATGGAGAATGACAGGAAACAACGAGAATCAAAAACTGTTTAATCACCACTGATAACTGGTATCGTGAGGGCTAATAAGACTGAAATAACTGGTGCATATTGACAGAACGTCAGTTGACAGAGAAGTGGTAACTATACACCAGGGAGCTGAATAGTGAGGCATGGCAGACCAACAAGACAATGGAGCGATAATATCCAAACAGATCTACACACTCTTAGGGTCACCAACTGGAAAGAGAAGGCCAACCAGAGAGATGAGTGGAGGCGGGTGATATCTGCAGCAGTGAACCGCAAGGACTCAGAATGCTGAAGATCTGTTTGTTTATCTGGCTTACTGACTGTTGGTTCTCGCTTCTCAAGCAGATAAATTTTTACACTGCAGGAAAACCATTATTACCCAGTGACAAGGATTACAATTGTGGGACGTCATAAACACTTAGAGGAACTAGCAGAAGTAAGTAATGCTCCGGGAAGTAGCTGCCATGGGTCTACCTGAGTGCCAACTGATCTATGCGAATATGAATCTAGTGTGACATGTCCAATGTGCCAGTGGCATGAAAATTGTACGTTTAACAATCTGGTCCAAACCTTACACTAGACTCTTACTGCACAATAACTACATACATTAATCTGGTACAAACCTGACATTAGGGACTAATGCACCTATTTGGTACAAACCTGACATTAGGGACTAATGCACACAATCTGGTACAAAACTGACATTAGGGACTAATGCACTTATTATTCTGGTACAAAACTGACATTAGGGACTAATGCACTTATTATCTGGAACAAAACTGACATTAGGGACTAATGCACACAATCTGGTACAAAACTGACATTAGGGACTAATGCACACAATCTGGTACAAAACTGACATTAGGGACTAATGCACTTATTATCTGGTACAAAACTGACATTAGGGACTAATGCACACAATCTGGTACAAAACTGACATTAGGGACTAATGCACTTATTATCTGGTACAAAACTGACATTAGGGACTAATGCACACAATCTGGTACAAAACTGACATTAGGGACTAATGCACAACAACCACACATTGATCTTACACAAAACTTACATCAGACACAGAAGAGCGCCGTGTGCGCTTCTTGCCCTTATTCTTGCTGGCTGGTGCCGGCTGCAGATCTGCGGGGATTAATGTGGTCATGTGCTGGGATATTTCTGGTCGCTTCACCTATAGTCAGAAATCATATTTATCAATGATAAGCAGATCATATGGTTTGCCCACCTGTCTTGTGATGAAACAAATAAGAGGGATCGAGATCAAGAGAGATAAGCAAAGTACAATATGGAAAGATAACATCAGAGAAACTACAGTACACTATGAATGTTTAATAGAACGAACAAACTTTTATTTCAAAGGGTTATATTAGGCACGCAGGCCTGTCTTACATTGGGCCCTTCCAAACTCCCATCTTTCACACAGCAGTTGTATTTCATCAATAAAGCATGGTTTGTTCATGTATTAATATGCATATTATAAAAATCAAGTCAAAAACAAAAGCATGGGCAGTAAATTATGTGCACACGCTCGCTCGTGAATACACACACCCACAAACCCATTCACACACACACAGGCATCCAATACACACACACATCCACATACACGCATGCATATATACATGCATACACTCACCTACACAGACATAGATGGCCAGATAGCACCTGAAATGGTAAAGTGTTCAGTACAACCAGCATCATTTATAGCAAAACTACAGCAGGTTAAGTGGGAGACCAAGAAAGAAGGTGTTAGCATCAATCTTTGGGAGAGATCTGTAGCAGAAATGGTGGACAGTACATGAAACAAGGCTAGGGTCAAACATGACTACCAATGCCACACACACGGACTGTATCTAGGCTAGTTGCGTATCCTTTACAGGATGTTGCAGAACCAACCCCAACTGACAGGAGCTGTTGTGTGGTTTCTCTAGGCAAATTTACATCCAGTAGTTTGCCATTGCTTTCTGGGTGGTCGGCCCCCTGATACCACTGTCGAAAGCAACGCAAGGCGCACGCATAGCCCTTAGCTGCATCGTCTTAGCCACAGAGCCGACACGGACTGTATATTTATATAAAAAGAAGACATTTATTTGAACAAAAGCCACACAACAATGACAACTGGAAACACCCCTAAGAAAATGTGTCAATATCTGTGATATGCCAATATCTACGAACGACAAAGATAAAAGACAAAGAATTCAACTGACAGGTGTTTGAGTTTGCTGTCAGCACTGACCTGTGAAAATTCCTCCTTTGATAACACATGCACTTGTGGCTGGACTGAAATGATGACCTCTGGTTGTGCTGTGTTGTACACCTAAACAAACAAATGATAATAAAACACCACAACTTAGTGATACAGACTGCAACAAAGTATAATACAACATTTCTACATAGTTCCAAGGGGGCTGCATGGTCTCGAGGCATGGTGTCCGCCTCGAGTGCTAGAGGTTCCAGATTCAATCCCCTGCAAGGGTTGGGATTTTTTCATGGACTCCTAGTAATTCCACATGGTCTCTGGGTAGTGAGATCGGACGCCCGTGTGTATTGTAGCGCAGTAAAAATATCCCTTGGCGGTTTAATGAAAAGTGTAGCCTAACAGCACTGCATAGGCAAAATTTGGAGTTAAAAGTTTTTTCAGGATCCTCGCTGGTGCTACAGAGCCTGTGCACTGCGCTGAGATTCTTCAGACTCAGACTTGAGTTAGAAGAAGAACGGAGCACTTATGGTTTACTAACTGTGAGCAATGAAGTTGATCCATTGATCAAACACATAATTCCCAAAATTGGTAAAGAATTACGAAGTCTACAAAATACATAAAGAGAACCAGTTACCATCAATCAGTCGACTGGAATGTCCTCGTAGGACTGCCAACTACAAGTTTACCATATCATCATGAGGTTAAAACATCTCAAACTGGACGGCAGACCAAGGCAAATCCACAATTTCAGAAAGGGATATTATATATTCTTTGATCACATACTGGGGGGAACACAAGCACGTTGTGTTAATGAGAAAGTTGGATGTGAAGAGATGCAGTGGAAGACCAAGAAAAATGTTGGACAGTTGGGCAGTGGAGAAACACTGGTATCAGAAACTGTTAAAACAGAACACAAGACAGGAGGTTGTGTGCAGCCATGACTGCAACACCACACAATGTATGCGCATACGATGTTGACGTCTTGGAAAGGATCAAAATCCAAACACAGATGACTGGCTAGGAACATACACTAGCGTTCATAATCGTAAGCACAGAAAAACTGTTATTTTTAAAAACTACTTATCCTTTACGTGATGTTGCAGAACCGTCCCAGGTTTTTCTTTCTGTTTGTGATGTCTGTAGACAACTTCTCACAAACGTTCATCGTTTTTTTGGTCATGATATAAGAATAAGGAAAAAAGAATATATTGTGACCATTAAAAAGATCTGTGGAAAGAGAGTAAGTCTCTTGGAATGGCGTAAAAGAGTGTGCCAACACAATGACACATGCAGTTGCAGATCGCAGAATTTGGAGAGACACGATTGCTAACGCCAGCCTACAAGGCACCTGCTGATGATTTCACTAGGCAATTTTTCTACAGTAGGTTGCCACTGCCTTCTAAATAGTCCGCTCTTGATCCCACTGTTAAAACCAACACAATGTGTTTACTACCAGTGACCACGGTTGTGATCTGGCACCTTGGAATTACAAAACGTGCCCGAAACATCTAAAAACAAATATGAAACAACTCACCACACTTTCAAACTGTGGCCTTATAGGGCTGCCATAAGCTACTGTAATCTTCCCATTGTTGACGTAAGCACACAAGACAGGAACTGTTGTGCTCCCAGAATCTCCGCCATCAGTCACCACCGATGTTTTGATACTAACTTTTGACAATAGTGGCTTCTTCCGTTTCCTGGACAACAACAAAACAGAAAAATGTATATTACTTTTGTTGTTGCTTACATTGGCTTATAAACTTTTGACAGAAAGTTCTGGTTGTTTCTTCATTTCTGGCCTGGTTTTGTTTGTTGCTTATCTGTATGCAGACTACTAATGCCTTGTCTCTTGGGCAGATGCATTTCCACTTCAAAGGAAACACCCGTAATTAGTTACCTTCAACATAGTGGGATAAGAGGGAGTCAGTTGGTCTATTTTATTTGTATATATACTAAAATTGGATCCTGGTACTATTTGTCTCAATATTTCTCAACAAAATACCTTCCAGAGAGTGTATATTTAAAAAAAAAAAGCAATGCTTATCAGGCACAAATAAAGGCTAATGCATATTAGGTATATGGTACCAGACCCATATTTTGACAGTCCAATCAGCATTCAATAAGTGATGTAGCCAACATAATGTTGGCCATCTGTACTTTTCAGGACATATTCTGCTATCTATTTTAGGATAGGTCAACCTAGGAGCCTTTACAGGTCACTGGGTGTTGCCTGGAGAGGATGTAGTTTGCTATGGAGCAGGAAGGGGGTGGGGCGCATTAGCGCAGTCGATAGGAGACCCGCTTTCAAATTCACCTGCGACTTGCTGCAGCCCTAGACGGGTGTTCGAAACGGGATAGTTCCCGGAGGTTCATCCAGCATTTAGGTAATGGATACCAGAAGTAATATGTAGCTGTAGCTACAGAGTTGCCTGCGGACGGCAACACAGGCGGATAGTTTCCTATCAGCTGTCAGTACTGGTGACACAGCACCTCTGGTTTATAACCATGTGCAAATGGCGCTGGTTCACATCTCCTGACTTCACCTTTTTAGAAAGGAAATGATTCCAGGAAAACTGTATTTAGCTCCAAAACAAAAAAGCATTCTAAAACTATAAAATAAAAAATTCTGCCCATTTTTTATAAAAGAACTACCGCTGCCTTAATCAATGCAAATAAAAGACATTTTGGCTCTTCTCCGAATGGCGTCATAATATTATGGCGGCCATAAAATATCTAAAAATATCCCGGCTCCGTATAACGAAACAAATGCTGTAACAGGGTCTTAGCGATGTGTTACTTGCAGACCTGTGTCTGTGCGGATGAGGGTTAAACTAGATGCCTGGGACTCACAAGCAGCAGCTCCCAGGCACCTAGTTTAGCCCCATCCGCGCCATGCGCAACGACGCGGGGGAAATGCTCGGCGTAAGTTTAATCGTGTTTTGCACATGCCGAAAAGTGTGAGGATACAGGTCGGCAGGTCTACTGCCGCTAAATCCTAAATTGGACGAACAGTATTGCTAATCTGCGTGGTCTACCCGCCATATCACTTTCATCGCCTGTAATGTCTCGAAATTGTCAACGGTCGCTAATATCTTCTGCAGAAACGCTCGAAATTGTCAACGGTCGGTATTTATCGTCTGCTACTACCGTGTGCAATGTTGATATTGTCAAGTAATCCTAGTTTTTTGCAATTTGTTCCTTGGCAGAAAGTCTGTATTCTAGATATGCCTGAACCCCACACGGATATTTTTGGATATTTTATAGCCGCCATAATATTATGACGCTGTTCGGAAACGAGCCAACATTTTTATTCATAGAAGCAACTCACCCATTCAACGTGTGTTCAAATATGTGCACAACCCCTTTGCGCGTGACCACTGACAGCAAGAGTGCCTGTTAATGGAAAGATAAACTGACACTAAAACAACATTCTAAACAATACTTACATTTATCAATGTTATCTTTTCTGTGTATATGCTAAACTTAAATATTGTTGCTTCTTGAAGAAGAAAAATGTCATAAAACAAGGAAAGATGCCAATAAACATATTTTTGCTTATTCCTAACCTTCTGAATTGATTTGTCAAAAGCCTTTCCAGAAACACTATATATCTCCCATCCATCCTACCCGATCTTGCAATGTCTAAGTGTTGTGTCAGTTGTAGATTGGCTCTTCAGCTTCCGGGTTAGTAAAGTCATTCTTATTCTAAGCCTTACTGCCTGTAAACTCTGGTGGAAAGTTCTGGTTGTTTGTATACTCCCGGACTTATGTCTTGTTTAAAACCTCGAGTCTTGTGTGCGCATCCACTTTACAGATCTGGCTTATTTGTACGCAGACGTGGTTTCTTGTCTCTCAGGCAAATGCAGAGATTTCATTTAAACACCCATAATTATTTGCCTTGTAAAATATGGGGTCCCGGAAGCCATTTGCAGAGGAAAAAGTTATTCAATTTCGAGAGCCTTAACACCTCCCAATTTTAAGCACACAAAAAAGACCACCCCCCTCCCCCCCCCAAACAGAAACATAAATTTTCTCTTCTTCTTATAAGGGGCACACAACTCCCACTCCCCTCCTTAAAAACACACATAAATTTACTGTTATCTCACCGAGGATGTAGCAGACAGCCTTGATAATGATAATGACACAGGTTCATCAGGAAGAGAGAACGAGGCAACAGAGTTGTTTTCGTGGGATGATTCATCACAGTACCTGCGGACATAAGGCAGGTGACATCAACACACAAAATAAATTTCTCTACATGTTATAGATTTATGCAGCAGTCAACACAAAAAATAAAATTATACCCAACCCAGCCTGTGGCGACAGCACTAGCTAGCTGGCTCCAAATCCTGACTCAAGCCCCCCTCAACTATAAATACAGACAGTAATTGGCAGTTCACATGTAACCGAAAAAAAAAATTGTTAGAACAATCAATAATTTTACGCACACCAAATTACAAAAATAATGTAAAATCAATTTATCATGTGCCAAAGAAAATGTGCTGCATCACTATAAATGTTTTTAAAAAGAAATTTAAAAAAAAATTAACATTTGGGGAACACTTACCAAACATTAATATGTCTATCATCAACGGCCGCAGACAGAGCATATGAAGCATCAAGGTTGTCAGGTGTCAGTGAAACTGGCAGTAGGCGGAATACTGGAGACGAATGGCCTGTGAATGTCTGCACACACAAACAATTTAAATTATAATCTAAATATACACAGTTTACAGTTGAGAATAAAATGCATTTTATAACGTCGCATGTAACAAAGAAATTATAAATATAACAGGGCAAGGGGAAATTGCGTGCCTCCGCACTGTCACCTAAGGCTAGATTTTAAAAAAAATCTGGTCGTATAGCCCCAGTTCTAAAGTAAAACAAAATCTTGAAGCCTTAAAAATGCTGAAATTTCTTTGCACGTCAAAAAATGAGTGATCTAATGGGTGTTTTCATGTACAAAGACAGTATAACAAACATGTGAAAGAGGCAATCATCTCTATCTTTTATGTGGTCACAAAACATGCCACTTGTTATTTTTCTGTTATGTGTCCTTTTCAGATACAGAAGATTATAGCTGATGCCTGCTAGAAGAAGAAACAACAACAAAACCATGCGTATACTGCACCAATGGGAGTCCATGACACCAGGCTGTTGGTGACTTACGCTATTGGGTTACTGACTTAAGTTAACATGTACAATAATACATAACATGTTGACTGGTGCACGGGAGTGATATCTAGTACACAACAATGCGTGTTTTTGGGGCTAAAAACTTTTCTACAGGGAAGGAAATAATATGTAAGTGTAAGTGCCATAATCTTAAAATTATTGAAACCAGCATGACATGGTGTCTTTCTGTGTTGTTCAATGTTACTTCTGTTTCCGCTGGACTTCAGCTATAATTCAGTTTAGTGACCATGCTATTGTCACATATTTCAAAGATATATGCCATCTCAGCATCACTTAAAAATACAGGTCTAGAACTATGCTTAATGTGCCTGAAAGCAGGGAAAGAGTCCATTATTATACATTTTTACTTTGCCACATGGATCTTTTTCTTCATGTTCACCAGCTGTAACTCCGGAGGGAAGTTCTGGTTGCTCATCCACCTCTCGACTTTAGACTTGTTCTGGAACCTAGGTGTTGCATGCACATCAGTTTTACAGATCTGGCTTATGTGTATGCAGACTGGTAGTTCCTTACTTCTCAGGCTGCGACTTTGGAGAAAACCTCTAATTAGTAGACTCTTATGAGATGCTTGTTGGGGAGACAGAAAGTATATTCTTGGTCTCCTAACAATGGGGGTCCTGGAAGCCACATGGTGACGTATATGACAGAGACATATAGTTGATGTGAGACATATATGACAGAGACATATAGTTGATGTGAGACCTACCTGCAGGAGTGTCCTTGTGCTGAGAACCCACATGGTGACGTATATGACAGAGACATATAGTTGATGTGAGACATACCTGCAGGAGTGTCCTTGTGCTGAGATCCCACATGGTGACGTATATGACAGAGACATGTAGTTGATGTGAGACATACCTGCAGGAGTGTCCTTGTGCTGAGATCCCACATGATGACGTATATGACAGAGACATATAGTTGATGTGAGACATACCTGCAGGAGTGTCCTTGTGCCGAGAACCCACATGGTGACGTATATGACAGAGACATATAGTTGATGTGAGACGTACCTGCAGGAGTGTCCTTGTGCTGAGATCCCACATGGTGACGTATATGACAGAGACATATAGTTGATGTGAGACGTACCTGCAGGAGTGTCCTTGTGCTGAGATCCCACATGGTGACGTATATGACAGAGACATACCTGCAGGAGTGTCCTTGTGCTGAGATCCCACATGGTGACGTATATGACAGAGACATGTAGTTGATGTGAGACATACCTGCAGGAGTGTCCTTGTGCTGAGATCCCACAGCTTGATCTTGTGTCCAGCTGTCAGCAGCTGATTGTGGGAACACTGACACAGTGACTGGACACCAGCGGAGTCACACTTCCATTTGCTGAATGAGATCAAACAATGGTGTAAATACACACTGGAACAAATGAGAAGTATGTTTCTTCGTCTTCGTTCCAACTGCATCATAGCTGAAATTTTTTTTTGGGGCAGCCATATGTGACTTTCAAGCATGTCTTTAGAGTGAGCCAGCCAGGATAGTTTTGTGTGACAGATAGCAAAACTGCTGCCTTGTTACACAATGACTTCGTCACCCACCGGTCTGCGGGTATTATCACTCTGTACTGCAGTGGATTCCAGGTCACTGTGGCTTGGAAGGCAATGAAATAGCGGACATATTGGCCAGAAGCGGAAGTGACATGGTACAACTAAATAGCGACTTAACCCACCAAGAGACGAAAACATTAATACAATCTAGTAGCCAAAAAAGGTGGCTGGATACCCACACAAGATTTTCTCCCCAAGACTCGCATTATCGCCTCTCTAGAGAATAACAGTGTAATGTACTCCAACACTGTCAACTGTATGCTGACAACAGAGACGCAATCTGGACTGTCCCAACCACAATGAAGACTCACAACTGTATGGTACACGAGAGGATTTGGATTGCACAATAGCTTTCATAAAAAAGCTACTGGCCTCCTGATATAAGTTTTCTGACCAAAGGATTGAAGAAGAAGAAGACTAGAGGGCCCATCCGGATAGTTGTGTCTTAAAGCAACAATCCCTGACAGATTGCACAGGCAGAACACAGGGATTCCCCGCTGTCCAAAGAAAGGTTTTGGGTGCGGAGCTGATACATGGCACCCTGGTACTGGGTTTACCCAAGAAATTGTCGTGTTGTCTGGTTAACCTCACACCTGTTTACTATGCAGCCTTTCACTCTTTATGGGCTGCACCACTTACGGGTGAGAAGGTAAATTTGTTCCTAACTGTTTTAAAGAAAAACTACTGCACACTTTTCTGAAAGTCAAGACATGACAAACAGTCACCAAGTCTCAACTACTCCCATCTCACTTACGCTGTCTTCTATCTTGGAATTCAGCACAGGCCCTCAAGCAACTCATTCCAAGCCAATCGTAAATGTATTCATTAATCAATTTTATTAAACAACTTCAATTGTATGCCCAATGAGGTGACTGCACCCCCCCCCCCCACAAACAAATTCGCCTCTAGAGCAATTTTAAATCAAACCCACCAGGACCAAAACCTCAGAGCTACAACCACCATACAGCTACCATTTATTATCCATATTAGTCTTCTTTTTTCCTATCCACCCCCCAATGAAGTATGGGCTCTCAACTAACTCACACTTAGTAACAACATCCTTGGCTATTGCATCATTCCTTTTAGCATTAAAAAATTGAAAGACAAATTAAAACGGGAAAGAATGAAATACAAAGAAAGTCTTACTGTTTCTGTTTGCCTTTCCTCAAGTCCCAGTGGACCACCTCCTGGTCGTCGGAGCAGGAGAACAACTGTGGCTTAGATAAATGCCAGCAGACATCATTCACTTTCAGTGAGTGCCCGCCAATCTGGAAACAACAAAAAATGTGCTGTATATCCAGTCGATTATGCAAAGTAGTTTTCATTTTTATTTTCCCCTCAGAAAAAATATAAAGAAAGGTTGAATTAAACACATACGCTTTACATATTGCACACGTTTTACCTCATAATATTTATTTTAAAAGATGTAGCTGCAAGAACTAACCAACTAGGATATAAGGAGGCCAGTAGTAATAAGCCAATTGAGAAGAGAGAGAGAAGGGGAAGAGAGATAATTAGAGAGAAGAGGCTTTTCTTATATAAAAATTCTGCAACATTACATGAAAATGTTGGGGGGATGCATGCTGTTGATTTATGCGCCTTCCAACTAGTACAATCTTCTGATTTGGCAACTGCAATATTAAAGTCATGCTCCAAAGGGACAAGACACTGAAGGTGGAAGAAGAAGAGGTAACTGAATTTGCGTTTCAGCCCCCCTGAACCTGCCAATGACTGCCTTTATTTTACCACTTGAGCGGTGTAGGCAGGGAGGTCTTTGAGTCTAAGGATTTAGGATTGAATGGCTAGTGATGTCGCCACGACTGTGCAGGCGGGGATTTTATTTTGCGCCTGACAGAAGAAGAAACATTCCCAGCCTTACAGAGGATTTGAACCTGGATCTCCCACTTGAGAGCCCAGCGTTCTAACCGCTCGGACAGCAGCTCCTCTTTGGTGGATAAAATGAGTAGGAAAAAGGGCTGAGCGGCACAAAAAAGTAATGGATAATATACAAATTAGTTGACGGCATATGGTGCAATGGAGGATAATCAGCCAAAGAATTAAAGATTAAACAAACCAAACTTAACCTAAGAAAAAATTATAACTCAAACCTGAAACATTAAACAATTCTCATGTTCTGGGTAGTACAAGGCAAATCTATCCTGGCAACAGAACTGCAGAGATGGTTTGACCAATGACCTTAAGATAACACTAGGCTAATACAGTGGCACATTATTTAGTTGCATATCCTTTACAGGACATTGGAGAACCAACCACAGAATCTGGACGGACGGTTGGCTTCTCGATATCACTGTTGAAACCAATGTAAGGTCCATAGTTGGGATCGCCGGCAATCCGGCATTACGAAGCGCGTTTGCGACGCAGCCACAGACGCTCTCTTCTAGATATCCTGAATCATTAGAAATAACGGGAGAATGATTAATCCGTCCACGTAAAAAATTAATTATTATTAGCACATGAATACAATGACAGAGTTGTATTCATTTTAACACTGCTTAATACTCTAATACATGAACAGAGAAACAATTTGATGAAATAAATGAAAACTGAGCTTGACTTGACCTGGCGGACACGAGTCAAGTGCCCAATAGGATGGTGCAGAGGAGATATTGTTTGTAAAAATTAGACCCCATCCAATACAACTTCAGGAATCTGACATTCTCGTGTTTTTTTTTAATCTTCTCCATCTCTTTCCCCTACTCAAAGCTGGGGCTGACCAAATTCTTTTAATGAAAAGCTGGGAACTTTGCTTCTGCTTTCTTCACAGAATGTTTCAGAAATGTGATACTGTCTGGTCATCCCACACAAAGCTATTACATGTTCGGGCAAGCTTTGGTGGGATGATACTTATCTGCATTGATGAATGAGGTAAACAAGGGTAGCGTACTGTGTCGTGACTCATACAAGTTCTAGCATGTAAGTCCTCTTTCAAACAATACCAAGGTGCCACTATTTGTTTCATTAAAACTTCAAGTTGTAAAGAAATTTAATGAAACACAGCACTCACCAACTGTGTATGCAGACCTCCTTTAGCAAAACTGTACAAACTGATACTGCCTGCAGTTGTGCCTAGGGCCAGGAGCCTCAAATCATCAATGTAAGCCTCATCTTCTGGACTCTTGCTCACCCGCCTCTTCTTTGACTTTGGAGTGACTGCCTGAATACACAAAAGGCACAACGTAATAAAAGCATGAAGTGGAAGAGGTAAATGTACACACACACACAAAACATGTTAATAATACAACAATGAATTCACTGGATAGACTGGCTAATGAACACTAGCATGGTGGGGGGGGGGGGGGAGAAATGAAACAGACCCATCTGTTCATGAACTGTCTCGCTGAATGCCCCTATCTCATCATCATGTAGCAGGCCCTTTGCAAAACGTTACTCTTATCACTGTCTGCCTGAAAGAAACTCGGTCTTTCGCCAGCTTTCCCGCCTCATGTACTTTCATACTCAAAGAGTCACTTATATTTTGTTTTCATCTTTGTGTTGGTCGAGCCCCTGTCCATCCTTTCTGGCACCATGACTTCTGCGATAATTTTTTTCCAATCCGTCGTGGCGTTTGATATGATCAAAATATTTCATCTTTCGAGACAGGTTGCTGTTAATTAGCTAATCTCCCTTGATGTTCACACCTTTCAAGGTGTCAGTATTTCTCCTCTTCTTTGTCCAAGATTTTCTGATATCTGTGACAAATAGCTGACATGGTAATCCACTGTGGTTAAAAAGTCCAACCTGCATATGGCCTGGAAGGCTAATGTTCTGTACCTGGCTTCTCTTGTTACGTGGCTGCGCTGGATGACCACACAGCAATGAGAATGCAATGTCCCACAAAACTAACCAGGAAGTTAACCTAGGCAACAAAAGCCTGCAGAAGTCAAATGCATTGGCCAAAAGATGCAAATAATGCAGCCATGCTGCAAATGGCCACAACACATAGTTGTCTTCGGATTAACACAAAAAAAAACCCACTATGTTGTGAGCACAGGCTATCACACCCCATGAACAGACAGAAGACAAGTCATTACAGAACACATATTACAATGTCTGTCTTTATGTTCCCAAAACTATTTGCACCCACGCAATGAAACAGGGTGTACTCCAGTTGGAATTGGTCACAAAGCAACTGTGAAATGGTTGGGGATTAAACCCAGGATCACAGTGTGTTGTGTGCACTAACTGCCACTCCTTCTGATAAGTTACTGGCAGCTTCCCCTTTGTCAAGATGACAGTAGTATATTCTGTTGTCGGGAGGCATGGAAATGAAGCTTCTCTTATTTACAGCATAAAGCCTGGGCAGAATTGTAGAGACACGTATAGCCCATCCATCATGCTCCCTCTCTCAGCCTAACTTGTTTACATCAAATTAATGGCAACACTGGTACATCTGGAGCAAAGCAAGATGCTATATCAGAACAGTGCTCTGTCTGTCCACTTGTCGGACTTCCCTCCTAGACCCGCCAGTCAAGGCAAAGGTCTACCCGGCGATAACAGGTTGCATTTCCTATGACAAGGCTAGTATCCTTCCTTAAGTGCTCTTCCACCTGAAGCTGTTAGCACACTAGAATGTCAAAATTCTGCACACATTACAACAAAGCTAGTGGTTGAGTGGAACCATTCATTTATTCAAATAGGTGCACTCCCCCAAATGACTCACTGGAAGCCAGCTTAAAACCATCAGGAAATTAGATTCCTGGTTCTGTCTCAGTTTCAACTTCCTGATACTTGCTTTTCCAGTCTGGATACCTGCATGGCAGAGTGGTCGAGCTGCAGCTCCACACTCTATAGAGGTGATGGGCTTATTTTACAGAGATCCCAAAAATCCCCCCTGGAGCTACGCAGCCCGTGCTTCAGGTGGTGCTCTCGACAGGCAACTAGCCATTCTGCAGACAACTAACCTGTATGTGATAACCAAATTAAATGAGATTGCTCCTCTAAACTTCTATAACTTGTCTCTAGTCTGGAAGACAGATGTAATACTTTCATAGATTTTGTTTCCTGTTCACTGTCTGTTCCCAGTTTAGAAGAAGCAAGAACTAAAAAAGGTCTGGCTCCTGATTACAGCCTGCTCCCAGTCTTGTCAATCAACGGGTCCTTTACAGAACATCGCTCTCAGCACGGCACACCTGAAAAAGTCTCTCTAGCCAATTCTTCAGCCCTATGTGCTTTCATAGCCAATGTATCGTTAATGTCTTGTATCCACCTTTGCTGAGGTCTGTCCCTACCCCGCCTCTTTTCCAGAAGCTACTCACCATTACTGTTTCTCCTGGCCACTTGAGAAAACCACCTTTTTCCATTCCCCCACACAATCCTGAATCGCAAATACACCCTTGCAGAGTTTTACCTATTTTTCGTGTCAACTGTGATCCCTAAAACAATGTCTGAGCAAATAATCATTCAATTTACTTCCACAAGTAAACAATCCTCTTTGTTAAAATGGTCAAAGAAATTAATTAGCAGTTTTGTCTGCACACATGTCCTTGATATAAATTATATTTATGCTACCAAAGAACAGAAAAGATCTATATTTCTGGGATCTTAAAACCTAAATTCTAAAAATACTCATGTTAGGACCCGATTTTTTTTTTTTTTTTGGTGAATTTTTGTAGCATCCTCTAGGCCTTGTAATAAATTCAAGATTGATTATGAACCCATCTATGAACATACATTACACAGGCAGTGTTCATTATGAACACATCCATAAACCCACACAACACAGACAGAGCTCATTAGGAACCAATCCACAAACCCGCACAAAACAGGCAGTGCTCATTATGAACCAATCCACAAAACACAAGCAGTACTCATAATGAACCCGCACAATACAGTCAGTGCTCATATGTACCCATTTACAAACCCGCACAGCGGTCAGTGCTCATTATGAACCAATCCATAAATCCCCACAACACAGGCAGTGCTCATTATGGACCCACACAACACAGGCAGTGCTCATCATGAACCCACACAACACAGGCAGTTCTCATTATGGACTCACACAATACAGACAGTGCTCATTATGAAACCACACAACACAGGCAGTGCTCATTATGAACCCACACAACACAGGCAGTGCTCATTATGAACCCACACAACACAGACAGTGCTCATTATGATCCCACACAACACAGACTGCTCATTATGGACCCAACACAGGCAGTGCTCATTATGATCCCACACAACACAGACTGCTCATTATGGACACAACACAGGCAGTGCTAATTAAGAACCCACACAACACAGGCAATGCTCATTTTGATTTATCCATAAACAACACAGGCAGTGTATAATACTCCAAGATTCCAAATGGCAGCCCATGGCCTGTCTCATCAGAACACTGACGAAGTAATAATACCAAAGAAATATAAGATAGTCTTGTGAGAATGCCACCACAATAACAACACAACATCTAAAAATGATCTAGCATAAAAGCAGGGGCGCGCAAAAAAAAAAAAAGATAAACTGACTATGTCCTACATCGCCATGATGTGACAATTCCTGTGTGGGTCCCTGGACCCCACTGCGGGAAAAATAATAATTGACCCACTGCCTTCCCAACAAGCATGTCGGAAGAGTTGACTAACTTATAACTGGGGGCTTCCTTTCAAGTCAGAGTGCAACCTGCCTGAGAGGCAAGCAACCAAGTCTGCATACAAATTAGCCAGATCTGTAGAATGGATGTGCAAGCAACAATCAGATTATGGAACAAGACTCAAGTCTACAGGTGGGCAAACAACCAGATCAGAACAGGGGTTTACAGACAGTGAATGCACAGAGAAACAAGAAATGGCAATACCCAGTGCTAACCATGAAGCAATGGCTCACAACAGTCCCTCGTGGCACTTAGCAAAAAGGTTTTAACTGACAATGACGATGATCCAAGAAAAGACATACATGCCTATTTTGCCAGATTAAGAGAATACTAAATATTATGCTTTAACTCCGATGTGACTTTACGCAGCATGACAAGGCAACAATGGCATCACACAAAAAGTCTCAAAGAAACAAAGTATTAAGATGATCCACTTATGTAACACATTAGAAAAATCACATACAGAAGATCCTTACTGAACTTACTCGCACCACTAAAGTGATGTAACTGAAGAAAGATAAGGGGATAAGAAGATGAGCTTACACACCCATGTAAATCCACTTTTTTTTATATTTAAAATTTACTCTGGGGGTGCCTTCTAGAGTTAATAAAGCAGAAGATGACACTTGGGGAGTCTTTCAATCAAAAGTGTTCTGTGGAGTATCTTTCATACTTTAAATTTTATGTTGAATGAAATGTATAAAAACGTCTACGCAGCACATAAGGAAATTTTCTGAGATATAAATTTTAGTCAAGTCTGACAGAGTGAATTAAACATACAAACGTACACTATAAAAAAGAAAACAGTTTCAAAATTGGCTATTGCTACTTAGAATTTAACAAAACTACTAAATGCCACATGGCACGACAGTGGTGTGGTAACGATAACGATAATCTCCTGTTTTAAAAATCATACTAATAAAACAGGTTTAAAATCTTTATGGTGAATGTTACAAGAACCTCGAACATTCTAATATTTACTTAAATCTTTAGTAAAACGATGTATAAACAAATATAAAATTTACAGTAAAGTAACATAACAAGACAGGTTGTCCCCAGTGCATTAGGTAAACATTTAAATCTCACCGATTCTTGTTTGTGTCTACTCCATGATACGGCTGTTGTGATTGCAGATAAATGTGAACTAGAACTATATTCTTGTTTCAATGTCCCTGATGCACATTCAAATATTCTAAGGGTGCCGTCAGAACTTGTATGGGCTAAATATTCCCCGTCATCGGAGAAGGCCGTCAGATGTGTTGTCGCCATTTTGTGTAATCCAGCACGTGGAAAAGTCGGATGTCGTCTTCCTGTGGTGGAGAGCTCTCCCCTGAACTCATCTCCCGAAGCCTATCGATGGCCACTCTTGTGTCCGCCCAGTCTGCGGGCTTGGGTTAACATGTGCATCGGCGACCAAGTCACCAATTGGCTGGCCGGTAGACGACTTCGTCGCCGTTCAGAACAGTATTTGGGGCTGTCTCCCTTGATTGCATCAACACTACAAGAGTCCTTTTTGGGGCTACTTGGTGGCGAGCATTGCTAAGTAAGAGATACCCCGGTAG